GCAACAATCGTGAAACAAAATTCGTTAAGTCCAAAAAACATTTACATTCTCAAATAAAAACCAAAGTATTCTACATTTAAGTTAAAGTTAAATAAAAACTTTCCTATAAACTTAGGGAACGTTTATATTGGCCGTAACCATATATATATTTCTTTCTTACAGTCGAATGAGAGAGGAATACTCGAATGTGATTGATCAATTCTTATAGATTATACTGTTACGATCAATATAAACGCTCCCTTACAGTTGATTATTAAAAAGATTGCAACTAACTTTTCGATGATTTTTTTTTTTTTCAGAATGTATAAAAATTTTGAGGATGCAAATGACCTCTGAATGCATGTGAGTGGTCATGATAGACCGTATATTACTGCTAGTTGTCAGTACATTATAGTATACATAACGGGAACTGTAGATTTTCACTACTGGCTAATATACGAACATTGATAGCTTTTGCGTATTCTAAATTATAAAAAAAAGTATTGCAACTTTTTAATAACTGGCTGTACATAACACAATATTCATTTAATTCGAGTCAAACGTAATTTTAGACAAAGCAGTAAATTTTGGACTTAATCATTATGTACACGTACATGTAGGTACACGCGCTAGATGCCACAATGCATTTATACTTAAATAGTTAATATATATAGTTAATATATAAATGTATATAAATAAATTAGAAGGCCAGCTATCTATATCACAGGACTGCGATAATTTTGAAACTTCATAAGTGTCTTCCGGTTGCTTTTATTATAATTCATATCTTTATCCGCTATCTTTAAAAGTTTAAGAATTTTGAGAGTTTACTTCGCAGACTTGTGCGATAGTTGGGATTGCAAGATAAAAATCGGAAAGGAATAATACATCTTTTACACATAAAAATTTCAATATAAAGTTATTATTTTTGTTCACATCTCGTACTCCTATATGCATATACGTACAATTATTATTAATCTGATAACATATAATCGTTGCATGGTTAGTTATCTGTTCGACGCTCATCAGGGCGTGTGTTAATATTAGTGTTAATAATATTACACCGCCACGATGGATGTAATTTCTATTTATGTTTATTCGTCTCTTGTCAATGTTTTTGTTTATGAACTTCTTAAAACATATAAATAATGCTATACAAGTCCATCATTTCAAGTTATCCGAAAATTTAGATACTTTGAGCTTTCATTTTTCTTCTTTACAATCCTTTCTTTCAGCGCATTCTACAAATATCTTTGATGACGGATTAGCTCCATCGTCCATTAGAACAAAAACATTGGAGCGGACTTATCCTACTTGGTACCCGATGTAACTTGAATTTCAAAATGTCGGTGTCTCACGCAGGCCACGTTAAGAACAATACCGTAATTTATGTTGGCTTACTCGCGGCGTTACATCTCACTACGTTACAGTACATTAATCAAGAACTTAACTTGATTACCATTTTGCAAATTGACTAATCCGGATCGGATATCGGTCGCGAAGGAAGAACGCTGCGTTATCGTGAGGAAGCTTATCTCATGCCGAGCCCGATGCCGGCTCCACTTTGAGCATTAGACGTCCTTTGCTCCATAGTGATATACTGCCTGATAAGGCGAGAGATTTCATGAGCCTGCTCCGTCTGAAGTCTAGTGATACGCTGTTGCATCAAATTGCCGCACTTCATGTCAAGATAGAGCGTGCCTTCTTCAGACTTAACCTTCCTAGTGGAGATTACTTCAGAGTAGGGATAATGGTACAGTGTCTCCTAAAAGATGCCAGATGATTGAATTATACAAAGAGGAAGATGCCGTTATGTGAGAAAAGATGAGCATCTTAAGAAACGGAACTACTTACATGCGTGATTAGATCTATGAAATGCACTCCATGTCGATTGAGAGCGAGAATATGATCGGCGCCCTTTTCCTTGCCCTCAGGCACCCTCTTTACCGCGAAGAAACTTGACCCGAAAAGTGGCCACTTAGACAATATTTCTAAAGAAAAAGAAAACGCACATGTATATTTAATATATTTATCAACGACAATTTTTATCATTTTCTTAAATAACATTTTGTAAATTGTTATTGTTTAAGTTTTTATTGTATATTAAAGATATTATAAAGCACATACAAATTTAAAGAAAGTGTAAAACATCTTTTATCGTTTATATGTTCGTGCGTACTATAAGATAAACAATTTTTTAAACGTAAAAAAATAATTAATGAATTTTAAGAAATTAGTTTTAAAAAATTCATATAATTTTTGTTAAATTTTTATATATAATTTTATAATTTCTCTCTCTCTCTCTCTCTCTCTCTCTCTCTCTCTCTCTCTCACACTCACTTTCTCGCCTTATCTTCATAAATTTAAAAGAGAAAAATTCTTGTGAAAAATTATGAGAAATTTTTAGTAGAATTATTAGCTGTTACATATGTCATTTGTCGCAATAAAATAAGTTAAAAGAATAAACTTTTCCAGTTTCTTGTAGTTTCAATTTAAAGTCTCGAGTTAACTCACCGAGCACTTGCGCCTTGCAAGTAGCCGCCGAAGAGTGCTGAACATTGTTCCAGGCTTGTTGAACCATGTTAGACCATTGTTGCGGTCTGGGCTCTCTCAAGCTGAGCGCTGTTTTTGGCAACAGATATTTAATCTCCTTTGTCGCGGGTTCGTGCGTCATGTCGGCCGCTCTGTGTAATAGCGCCGCTATTTGCGCCATGTCATACTATAAAACACATGTGTCATTAATGGATCGTTGTCGATCGAGCTCCAGGCATGGAGGATATTGCAATACTCACAATTATTTCCTGAGGTAAATGTTCTCCAGGTAAAACTAGTAAAAGTCCTTCTAGATAATCAGGAGCAATTTGATTAAATACAACTTCTATATACAATGCTGCATCCAGCCGTAGAGGATAGTACCAAACAGATCTGAAAAGATAAAAAAAAAAGATACTTTCAAGTCTCTAAGGGAGACATTTTTGAAAATTTCTGCACTTTTTCAACATAATTTTACGTCAACTAAATAAAAATTAAAATCAAAATTATAAGAAGGGCTACGAGCTAGAGTTACAAAACAAGGAAAAATAAATTATAAAAATATAAATATTACAATACAAACGTTTCGACATCTATCGAGTTTCATTTTCAATTTGTTAACAAATTCTTATAAATCTATCGCTTAATGCATGTATCCGCAAAATATATAAATACATGTTAAAATCTAAAATGCTCGCCAATATAATCCTTTAGTTCTTCTTAAAAATACAGATCCCTCGAATAGTAAGGGCATTTTTTTTTTATGTTCTTTTTATTCTTGTAAAAATTATCCTATTGTATCATGTTATCCCAAGATAAAATTCTCATTGTCGTCTTATATTGAAAGTATTCACAACAAAATAGAAGTAACCATAAGAAGATCTATAAAGAGACCACAAGAAGTAACTGTAACAGTTCAAGTTCACAAAATTATGTAACTGTGCAATGAAATTAACAATATATTGTGTAAAAAATCTTTTTATGTGAACACTTTAACTTTCAGTGAAAGAAGAAAAAATAATGACAGTCGCTTATGGATTCCCATCTTATAATTGAGCAAATTGCAATCAGAAGAAAGATATACAAAGACAATTTAGCGTCT